ACCCTTGATAATTTATAAATTATTATTTTGTCATATCTTATACTGTCCGACGGCTCCCTTCACCCACTTTTCTGTTGTCCGGACACTTGAGATTTCACTTCCTTCAGTTCTTAAGTTTGAGAAATGCCAGCATATTCTTCCCTTTTGTTTTGCTAACTACGGGTTCATTATAATTCTTTAAGTTATTTTCTTAAGCTCCCTTTGAAATCTTATGTCAGCTCCTTTACTCCATCATTTCCTCCCATTATGCTTTAGCTACTCAACATTCCAAAGAAAGTATCAGTCCTTTCTGACATTCAATTTGGTCTTGTTCTTTCTTTTTAATGACCTTTTCCTGTCCCGTCTTCAAGTGTGATGTCCTTAATGTCATATTATAATTCTTCTGATCCTCAGCCACTATTGTGCAATGCATCAAGTCTGTTCTTGAGAAGGTCTCGAAATCCAAGTGGAATATACGCAAGGTTGTCTTTTGGTTCATGTGAACTGGTTTAAATTTTATTCAGCTTCCACTTGACCTTGCATAAGAACAATTGATAACTTGTTTCATAGTTAGCATTGTTCTGACTGATAATATTGAGCTTCTTCATCATCTGTTTGATTTTTGTATATTCCATCCAGGGAGGTGCATGTGTGTAGTCGAAAAGTGGTCTTTGCCACGAATAACTCATTGGTTTTACAAAATTGTATCATGTGATCTTTGACATAGTTTCTATCACCAAGGCTATATTTTCTAGCTAGCTACCAATTCCTTTTCTTTGTTTCAACTCTTGCATTCTAATCATTTCATTTTTACACCTTCCATTTTTCCTAAATTCAGACTTTGTACATTCCACATTCTGATTATTAATAAATATTCAGTTATTTCTTCTCGCTTTGAGTCTTACCCCATCCGCAAATGAAGGTCCTAAAAACTGTACTCTATTCACTCATTAAGGTCAACTGCATTTTGAGGAGACAACTCTCCCCTAGTCGTAGTTTGAGTGGCCCATCTTCCAGCAGTATATATTCCATGCTATTCGTTTTTACTGGCCAATATTCTCACAAGTAGACCTCCAAGTCCTTCTTCCTAGTCTGCCTTAGTCTGGAGCATCTACTGAGATGTGTCCGCCATGAATGACCCTACTGGCTTTTGAAATACTAGTGGCAAAGCTTCCAGCAGTATGCAAGCCACACAGTAGACAAACTGACAGAAGAGGGGTGGCTGATAATCCTATAACCTGGTCATTGTCAATATCAGGGAAAGCGGTGATGCTCCAACATTAAAGATCTCCTCATGACCAAAGAAATGCAGTCATGAGACAGTGGAAGCAGGGAAAGGGTACCCTTTGGCAAATTGTTTTGTATTGTACTTATGTCTTAGGCAACATGACCATTCTCTAGGGAGTTGTCACCAGATAATTTATAACATGTTTAGGTAGTTGGTTTTTTTAATACATACATCATTTTATTGGGGGCTCTTACAGCTCTTATAACAATCCATACATCAATGGTATCAAGCACATTTGTATATATGTTGCCATAATCATTTTCAAAATATTTTCTTTCTACTTAGGCCCTTGGTATCAGATCTTCTCCCCTCCCCCACTTCCATGCCTCCCACCCTTGTGAACGCTTGATAAATTATAAATTTTTATTATTTTCATATCTTACACCATCCACTGTCTCCTTTCACCCACTTTTCTGCTGTTCATCCCCCTGAGGAGTGGTAGCTTTTACATGTGTGTGAAAATGAAAGAAAGAAAAAATAATAAATGGATAAAGTGCTCAGCAAAAGAAAGAAAGAGGCAATTTCCCTGACCTAACTTGTTGGGTCACAGAACCCGCCCGGGGGCTCAAGATGCTCCTGTCCCTTTCTCTGCTCTCCCCTCCGTCCTGGGAGTTCTTTCCCTCAATAAAATCTTTCTCAACTTCAAAAAAAAAAAAAGAAAGAAAGAAATACCACCCCTGGGACATTTATCTATACTGCTTCTTGAAAAAATTAAATGTCTCCCAACCTTCAGTGCACCACACCATGGACAATCATGCAGCTCACCTAGCAGGCAGCAGGGCACAACGCGTGGGCTACACCAGAAGGACTTAACATAGAGGCCCTGCTGAATGAACTGAATCTTACCTCGAAGCTGCCTGAACCCTTGGACTGAGGGCTGGGGTACTTGAGTGGAATAGGAAGCAGAATGTGGTCACCCCAGGATTGTGGAAGTGGTAGTCATGGGACTTTGTGGGGAACCCCGGCTTGGTGGGTGGGTGATGGGAGGAGACCCAGGATCATCATGCATGTAGTGCCGCAGTACCCACCCTGCAGTGACTCAACAGGTTTGGGATCCATTGAACAGGAATCTACACTTGGGGGAGTTAGCTAGGAAGATCCCCCCTGGCATCAACCCCCATACTTGGGGTCAACAGAGCACAATCAAATGAGTCATCGAACTGTGGAGGAGTAAAACTCAGTTGGGTTGCAGCTCAAGATGAAACAGTACTCGCATAGACCCCTCATACCGACAGTGTTTGGAGTGCCGGGTCATTGGGAAATTGATGCTGCTAATATTGAAATAAGCATATACCCCAGAAGGGTGATTGACAATGCTCTGCTTCTTTGTTTTTAATGGAGTTTTGCTTTCTTGCTTGTAGCTTGCTTTTTAGCAATTTTCTTTCTTCTCTTTTTGGGTGTGTGTATTCCAGTCCTTTGGTTGCTGATTGGCTTAGGGCTGCTAATATTATAGGATGCAGTTAATATTACAGGCTTGTGTGGTAGTTACATAATCTGGTGTCAACTTGAGGCTATTAAGAATGATGGGGTGGATTTTAGCCTGTCAATCAGGTTGCAGCTTGATGACCTCAATTGGAGGCGCTATGAAGATAAATAGCTCACTGGAGACCAGACCCACACTCTCTGTTTCATCTTCCTGTTGATAAGACACTTGGAGCTACGCTGATGGAACCAGAGCCCTGGAGCTGGAAGAACCACACAGAGACCACCACCAGCACTGAGATGCTTCCACTGCCACTGGATCCATAAGACTTTCCACCCACTGGCCTGTGATCTTCCACTGCATGCGTTGCATGAGTCTGAAGAGGAATTTATAGACTGATATTGGACATGTGGGCTAATATTGGACTTATGGACTTGATCTGGACTGGGCTGGAATGTTTTCTTAATATAGAATTACTCTTTGATATAAAGCTCTCTCTTATACACATATGAGTGTCTATGAATTTGTTTCTCTAGTCAACCCGGACTAACACAGCTTGTGATTTTGTCCTATCAGACCCGCCAAAGTAAACCTGAGACATGCAAACCCCATGGAAAAGCAGATGGAGTCTGGGCTCCTACTTAACCCAATTGAAGAACACTTAGTTATAATACAATATGGCCCTGCTTGATACTCACCTTCATGGAAGGATCACTGAAGATAAGGATGGTGCAGCAAATGTGGTGAAGAAAGTAGATAGTGCCCAGGTAGCAATCAAAATAGTGTCTGGGGTCTTAAAGGTGTATATTTAAACAAGCAGTGATCTAAGCAAGGAATCAACTAAATCCACGCAGAAGAAGATGTGTGATCCAAAGATGACAATTAAAAAATTAGAATATGACAAAGAGAAAGGTATTAGAGCTAAAATTATGAACACCCAATTAGAGAAGGCTATTGAGGACAGTGGGAGCCCAAAACCCATCTGCAGAGTATATAGTCAAACTGAGCCACTGGCAGATCCATTCTAGCCACAGGCAAGAGTCTTGAACAACCTTGCTGCCAGGCAGAGACCATTGTAATCTTGATTATGCTGGATCAAACTCAGTGCTTGGCTAGTTGACATCCCTATAGAGCTAAGCTGAATTTGGTCCGGGTGCAGTATTTCTTACTTGTTTCATGACAGAAATTTCTTCTCTAGCTTTTGGAATGTTGATGAGGATCTTTTCTTTCTTACTCATTATTTGTATTTTAGTCTTTATATTATTATTTTTCCTTACCACCTTATTTTGAATTTGGTTTATATTGTTTCTGTAGGGTTTCCCAATTTGTGAGCCACTGGAGGAGTGGATGCAGAGTGATAATAACTGATACAGGGGTTGATCAGGGATGCAAGGGTGGGAGTGGGTGATAGGGAGGGAAGGGGGATTTCAGGAGTAGGAAATGAAGACAGGAGCGGGAGAGGGTACTAAAGCTGACTGTGATTGCACAACTCATTTATTTATTTTTTTGGAATTCATTTTAAAGGTGATTTAACCATGGGGGAGTGGGAATGTTCTAAAATTGATATGGTAATGAATGTACAATTCTCCTCAATATGATTAAGCAATTAAACTATTAAAGTATATGCTATGTAAAGTATGTGCAGAAAAAAATTATACCAATAAAACTGTTCAAAAATTTAAAAAAAGACCAAAGGGGGTGAGGGAACAAATGTCTTTATTAAGGTAACAATCCTGGCCTAATTTAGCCACAATTTAATCATCTTTGACAGCAGATCATCAAATTGCTAAATAAAAAGCCCGTCTCAAAAAAAAAAAGCCCGTCTCATTCAAGTTGTATGGCTGGATGACCTTTTTCTCACTCATGACTGCCTGTACTTCTTTTCATAGCCTTGCAAGGGCCCACCCAACAGTCTTTTCAGCTGCTCTTTGGGCTAGATAAGGAGATTCTTTGTCTCCTTAGTGCTTGCCTCTGACTGATCTCTTCTTCCCACTACCCTCAGTCCCCTAGCCCGTTAGATCCCGAGACAACCTGACTCTCTTCACTGAGGGCTAAGAGGGCAAAAAAGCCAAGGATGAAATCCCCATGGCCTCTTGATTGTAGACCTCACATTACTCAACCACCACTCTTCACTGCATGCCAGACTTCCAAAGTTCAGCACAAGAATTTGGCTTGTAACCCACTGACTAGCACTCACATTTTATTATTTTAATGTGCATGTGCATGTCTAGCAAGAAAGTAAACTCCTCCATAGAGCATAGATCCTACAAACCCTGTTATCTTCTACCAGCCCCAATTCACACATTTGTGTCATTTGTTGGCCCCAGAAGACATTTACCAGGATACCCTTGGGGATACCAGTCGCCATCGAGAAATGTGACCCATTGGGTTTTCAAGGCTGGGACCGTTTGAAGTAGATCAGATCTTTCTTCCAAGATGCCTCTGAACGGTTCAAACTGCCAACCTCTTGGATAGTAGTCAAGCGCTGTTGGATAGTAGTCGAGCGCTGTTGTTAGTGGTCAATGGGTCCGTCCCAACCCTTGGTAACCCCATGTGTAAGAGCAGAATGACTACGTAGGGTTTTCACGACTGTGAGCTTTCAGAAGCAGGTGACCAGGCCTGTCTCTCTAGGCACCTCTGGGCAGTTCCGAACCACCAACCTTTCAGCTAGTAATTGAAGGCTTAATTATTTGTGCCACCCAGGCAGTCACTATTCGTGGAAATAGAAATGACAATGTGAAACACACAACTTTCCTCCAGTTCTTTAATGCTTCTAACCCCCCCCCCCCCACCCCTCCACTATCATGACCCCAATTCTACCTTACAAATCTGGCTAGACCAGAGCATGTACACTGGTACAGATAAGAGCTCACAACACAGGGAATCCAGGACAGATAAACCCCTCAGGACCAATAATGAAAGTAGCAATACAAAGAGGGTAAGGGGAAGGTGGGGGGAGAAAGGGGGAACCAATCACAATGATCTACATATAACCCCTCCAAGGGAACCGACAACAGAAAAGTAGGTGAAGGGAGACATCAGTCAGTGTAAGACATGAAAAAATAATAATTTTTAAAAGGGTTCATGGGGGTGTGGGGAGGGGGAATGAGCTGATACCAAGGGCTCAAGTAAAACAAAGAAAATGTTTTGAAAATGATAATGGCAACCATGTACAAATGTGCTGGACACAATGGATGTATATATGGATTGTGTTAAGAGCTGTATGAGCCCCCAATAAAATGATTTTTTAAGTGACAATTTAAGGCTGGCCATTCAGTTATCTGATGAGTTTGAGATGGGGAGTTCTTAAAGCTAACAGTTCTGTTGCCCAATCTTGGACACTGCTCTCTAGCCCTGTTTGTGTGTTATTTTTGGACCTCGGTGAGCTACCACGGTATTCCAGCCAGGGTGAATTATTCTCATTCCAAGATCTCAGAATGTTAACATCTTCTTTAACAAATGGCGAGAGCCATAAGGAAATTGATTTAGAATGAATATTTTCGCAAGCAGAATGGCTCCCATGTTGCCAGTAAATGCCAAGGCTAATAATACTTCTCTCTCGGCTTGATGTTCACAGGCTGAATGAGCTCTTTGAGCCATAACAATGGTTAACTTCACAGGCTCAGTTTCTGAGTGGAAATTAAGAGCTCTTGGCACTAAAGCCTCCCCCCTCTCTACCTTATGCAGGTTGGAATATTCCTTATGAGTTCAATGAATCTGACTTGAGGATCAGTATGCGGCAGACGCAGATGTTTCTGAATGAATACAAGGAGGTGCCATTTGATGCTCTGATCTACCTGACAGGTAACACACCAACATCATGCTCTATGGTCCTGCTCATTTGCTCTGATCACCATTCATTTATTTCCTCATTCAATCAGTGAACATTGAGTTTTTACTAAGTACTAATCACGATGCTCGAGATGGTGAAACAGCACGGTCACTAAGATAGACCCCATACCTTCAAGTGTCTCACAGTGTAGAAAGGGAGATACAAATACAAAGAGAGAAAGTGAGAACGCAGTGATAAGCTCAACAAGAGAAACGCTGAAAAGAGGAAAGGTAGCACAGTGACTAAGTCTCTGGAGAGAAGTAGGGGAGGGACAATGAGGACCATGGAAATCTCCCTGAAGGCAGACCAAAGGGATTTTAAGGAATGACTGGGAGTTTGACCAAGTAAAGAAAGTGGGGGAGAGGTCACAATAAGCAAGAGGAAGACAACATTGGCCAGCAGATAGGACCTTGAGGTTGAACCAGGACTTGCTGTGTTGAGTGAGTTACAACAACCCACCAGCAAGCATTTATTAGTTACCTAATATGTGCTAGTATGCAGTAGAAGCCCATTGCCTTCTACTCTCTTCCAAATCATAGCAACCTCATAAGACAGCATGGAACTACCCCATAGGGTTTCCAAGACTGTAATCTGTGCAGAAGTGGACTGCTCCATCCTTCTCTAGAAAAGTGTTTGGGGAGTCCAAACCTCTCACCTTTCTATTAACAGCAGCTGAGCACTTCACCACTATGCCACCAGGGCACCAGAGTCCAGAGTAGAAAAGAATGTCTAAAACATGGTCCCTGTGCACACAATGGTAGATATGTGCACACCTGTGTTCAATAACAGCATTATTTAAAATAGCAAAAAGATGTAAACCTAAGTGCCCATCAGTAGATGATGGATAAGCAAACTATAGTATACACACAAAGGGGTGCTATGTAATGTTAAAAAATAACAAGAAATCCACCAAGCATCTCATAACACAGATACACCTGGAGGACATTATGCTGAGTGAAATAAATGAGTCACAAGAGGACAAATATTGTATGTGACCACTAATTTAGAAAGTCAAGAACAGGCTTATACACAGAAAGACACAGTTCTTTGATGGTGACGAGATATGAAAGGGAAGGTAGAGAAAAATATGTAACTAGAGAGACGTATTAACTTAGGTGTAGAAACTGTAATATGAAACAAGAAGGAGGACAGCAGAATTATTTGCAATTGTATTTGTTCCTTTTGGTGCATCTAATTTCTAATATAGTTAGCATGCATTATTTTGTAGCGATCATAATACCAAAGTAAAACATTGTAAACTGAGGATGGTTTGTTTCAGCAATCCTGTGTCCCAGCAGATCTCCCTAGTAAGAGGCATTCCCTGTTTCAGTTTAAAGACCAAGTTCATGATGACCTTCTCTGTACTCAACGTCTACCTCTGCTGGCCCTCCGCAGGGGAATGTAATTATGGAGGCAGAGTCACTGATGACAAAGACAGGCGTCTTCTGATGTCTCTTCTGTCCACGTTCTACTGCAAGGAAATTGAGAAGGACAACTACAGTCTCGCACCTGGAAACATTTACTATATCCCTCCCCACGGCAACTATCAGGTGAGGGGTTGGGGAAGATGGCCTCTCTATCTTCAAGGAGGGGTTCCATAGTCTCGGTAGAGTTGGGGCTACAATGTAGCCCAGGAAAGTCAGGGGTAGTCTTGGCCAAGTGTAGCCAAGCCAGCCTCTGTGGACTCTGACTTGGATCCATAACTGATTTATAATATTTCAAAAAGTCTATAAAAGAGACTGTCATTATGCATATTCTGTAATTAATGCTGAGTATTTGGTAGACAAAGGTTTTCAAATTATGGGGTTCATCTGAAAGAACAGGGAAGAATGGTTAAGCCCAAACCTTCTGCTACTTAAAAACAAAGCTTCAGAAGGTAGAAAAATAAGAGAAAGAAAAACTGGATGGGAATGAGAATGGGCAGAGTAAAAAAAAAGATGTAAAAGATAAATGAAAGGAGCTAACTTTTATTGAGCACCTGTTGTGTGCCAAAGCCTTATTCCTTTGTAATCTTCCCATTTACAGATAAGGAAACTGGGATTTCAGAGGCATTGGGTGACTAGCTCAAGGATACATAGTTTGCGAGGGAGCTAGGATCCAGACCCAGTTCTGTCTAATTCCAAAGTCAGGACTCCTGAGCAGGGAAGATACAGGATTGGAAAGAAGATAGCTACTCAGCCCCATCTGCCTTCACATCCACTGCCCAGTAAACTATCTGAAGAAGAGCCTGGAATAGCTTCCCCCAGCTTAAATGGGAGGGAGGGATTCCGGGAAAGAGTTGGGCTATAGAAACAATATATTCCTGCTTGGTTTGGGCCCAGGCAAGCTCTGAATTATTTGTAAGATCCCAGGGAACCCACCTTTATGTCAACTGGAGGTTTTCTTTGCAGTCCTACATCGAGTATCTTAGGGGCCTCCCCATCACCTCTCACCCAGAAGTGTTTGGTCTCCATGAAAATGCTGACATCACCAAGGACAACCAAGAAACCAACCAGCTGTTTCAGGGGGTGCTGCTGACCCTCCCTAGGCAGTCAGCAGGGAGTGGCAAGTCTTCTCAGGTAACCGGACTTAGGGGCAAGAGGCAGAACTCTGTTTCCCAGCAGCTTTCTATGGGCATAGAGGATTGCGGGTGATGATCCAGAAGGCAGAGAAAGAGAGTCCTGGCAGAGCCCCCAAGGAAAGTGATTTGCTCTTGCTGCTCAGTCTTTAAATGCAGTGCTGACGGGGGAAGGTGGGATCAAACCAGTGCCATTGTGGAGATTCCAGGTGTATGGGGGGTGAGGGGTGGGAGGGGTGGGGGTGGGGTGGCAATCCAGGACTTGGAAGGCAGGGCTGCTGAGGAGAGCGCCTCCTTGGCATTCATCCTAATTTTCCAAAGGGCAGGGGTGGGAAGTTTGCAGATTCAGACTCTTGTTTCCAAAATTTCAGCTCTTCTTATACAACCTTCATGGTTTTGGCTAATCCATATATTCCTATACTACATCTACATAATATTTTAAAAAGTAGCTATGTTGCTTAAAGACATTTACCTATAAATGAAATAGACAGCACTGTCGTAAAGTGGAAAACCAATCTAGACAGTCATAATAGCCACAAAGGAAAATGAACATGGAACAGTTATTCATTTCTCCCCTAGTGAGGCTCCAGGCTGAAGCCTCTGAGCTGAGGTCTTGGTCTCTTATTGTTCCAAGGGGAAGCTTAGCAAGTGTTAGCAGAACAAGCAAACAAACTAAAAACTCACTTCCGTTGAATAAATCCCGAATTCTAGTGACTCTGTAGGCTTCTGAAGCTTTAAGTCTATGAGAGCAGAAAGCCTCGTCTTTTGCCCACAGAGTGGATTTTGGGTTTCAGCTAGTGTTATAGGGCTCTTAACTGAGAAATGGTTGGAGAACTCTTGAGAGGACTGAAAGGAAAAAGGTGGCCAAAACTTGGAACAGGAGAAACTTCTTTCACCATGTGATTCAACATCCTTGAACCACCTACAACCATTTCCGGTACCTCTAGTGGAACCAGTCCACACTTTGTCAAACACTGACCTAGTCTAACCTGCTCAGCCAACAAACTAGAAGGGGGCAAACACCTGGGAGAATAAGTGACCCAGTTTAATTGGTTCATAACATCACATGCAGAGCCAGCCCCAAAAGAGCAGTGCCTCCTGATTCTCAGTTTACCCCATTCACTTCCATCTCCCTTTCAAGCCACACCCACTCGCTCCAGCCCATCTCGGTACTGGATTTACCTCCTTGGTTCCTTGCTTTGGTTCATAGTGCCACAGATAGTCAAAGGGATGAAGGTTAAACCAGCCGGACTGGTGTGACTCAGTTGACGGTGGAAATTCCCCCATGGGGGGGGGGGGGGGGCAGGGGAGGCTCCAGAAGCACCGAGCACAGAATGGCAGCACTCACCCATTCTCCCACATGTCCCTGTTCTTTCTCATCCCCAAACTTGCCTGCCGCCCTACCCACGTGGAGTCCAGCGCCTGGGGCTTTTCTTGCTTCCGTGCTGAAGAATAGCCTGGCCTCTGCCTTCGTGTCACTGGGCACCGAGTTCCGTCTGTGCTAGGAGTTGGGGAGGTTGTGGGCGGTTCCCACATGCAGAGTTCTGCCAGGTTTAGCAGTGCCTTGAAGGGCCCCTGCATGAGCAGGAAGCCCCCTGCCTAACCCACAGTGTTGCTCCAGGCGTGAGGACAGGGATCTCTGTGCTCTGCCTTTGTGCTGCCTGGGCTAAGGGATGATCTCTCCACGGCAGGCAGGGATAGGGGGTGTCTGCTGCCACCTGAGGGTTTCCTTTCTCACGCTCTTCTCCCTGCTCTCAACATCAAGGAAGTGGTGGAGGAGCTGGCTCAGGACATACTTTCTAAGCTTCCAATGGACTTTGACCTGGAAGTGGTCATGAAGCTGTACCCGGTGGTCTATGAGGAGTCAATGAACACCGTCCTGAGGCAGGAGCTCATCAGATTCAACAGGTGGGCTGGATACTCGTGAGGGCCCCATCTAATTAATGGGCAGCAGAGGTAGACACGCAAGTGATTACTGTGTCAAGGAAGGGGTTTGCTCCATTACATAGGGCCATCCCCAGCAGATGGGGGTGGGGGTGGTGAATCACTGCTGTTCATTCTTTCCCACACTGGCAAACAATAATACAATAGAAATAATCGTTCGAGCCACTTTCAGTGAAACCTTAGTGCCATGTGTTTCCAAGCACTATGTATGCTATCTCACACTGCACAATCTTTTGAAATATGAACAGTTACCAGTCCTCCCACTACCACCATCATACACATTAAAAAACTGAAACCAAGTGGTTAAATAACTTGCCCAAAGTCACACAGTCGTGCAAAGGCAGAAAGGCGTTTCAACCTAGGTAGTCTGATTCAGAACCAATGCACTTAGCCAATATGCAAAATAAAGATGAAAATAGAGAGGATTTCTCCCCGTTGCCTCTGCCATAGAGGACTGAAAGGGTTTTGTGGGTTAGCTGTGGGACTAAGTGTCTCAAGTCTTCTATTCTAGCTTTTCCTCATTTCTCCCTCAGTTACTACAGCATAGATTGTAGTGGAGTCATTTTGATCTTATTTCGCTAGACAGAACTAAGAGGGTCCCCAAGACGGTCTTGTTCAAATGAGGAAACGGAGACTCAAAGTGGATTCAGCTGTCAAATGCCTTAGGGTTAGGGCTAGGGCTGGAGGTCATCACTTCCGCAAGTTCTTGCTCTACTAGATCCTCTGTGTTTTGCTATTTCCATTTGGCTTCATGGGATCATTGCTCAGTGTAGGGACACCTCGGCTAGAACTTCGTGGCTTTCCTAGTTTTAGGCTTATTCTGTAGCACGGAAAGACAGAACCAAAGCCTCATCTAGCCTGGAGCCAGAAGAACTAGATGGTGGCTGGCCACCACGCTTCACTGTCCTAACCAGAGATGCAAGCCAAAGAGCCTACATAGAATGGAGAACAAAACTCAAATTCCTAAAAAAAAAAGGTCAATCTTAAGGAGTCATATAAACTAGAGGAATCCCCAAGGTTATCTCTCTAAGATACCCTGTGAACTTGCAGCTGAAGCCATTCCCGAAGGTCAAAGATAACCTCTCATCCAAATAATAGATTGGCTTGTAAAGTAAACAATACTACCCTTGAGTATTATGCTAAATAAATATAGGAGACCAAATGGCCAAAT